GATAAGGGCCTCTCCCTTCCTCCTGGGCTAAGAAACAGCAGGGTGGGGCTGGGTGGGGTGGTTTGGGGGGGTCCGTTCACACCCAGGAGAAGGTGCCCACTCTGGAGACAAATGAAAATGATGTCAGAAGAGTGGCCCCAAGTTCTAAATCCATGGTTAACTGAGGCGTGCCCATCTACTGTCCTCTGGAAGTTTACATCACCATTCCTGTGTTCTGTCTCCAAGCAACCCACTCACTAGTGGGATTCTGTCCTCGGCATTAAGTTTTCCCAGCCAGAGATGGGGTCATCTTCCTCCTGAGGTTCCTCGGAAAACTGGGACAGCCTAGGACAGCACACAGTAGGTGTGACTTGGGTGGAGGGAGGAAGCTCCCACTGGGGGAGGCAGGTCCCTTGCTCCTGCCTGGCCCCAGGCCCCTGGCGGGCACCAGAGAAGAACAAAGGCCATAGTCAGACAGGCAGGGGTGGGCGGGCTGTGGGCTGCCCTCGAGGGGCCCCTGGCACCAGCTGCTGGCTGCCTGTCCCTGTGCCAGTGCTCTGTAGGTCACACCCGGGCCTCAGGGCTGGGCAGAGGTGGCAGCCAAGGAGGGGTGGTGGTCCCCCATGGGCTGCTCCACCCGGTGACTCAGCCCCAGGCTGGGCCTCCCCAGGGAAGACAATGGTGGCCTGTGGGTGCTGGGAAAGCCTCCTGGCAGGTGTGAGACCCAGGGTGGACTGGGGAGGAGCTCTATGAACCTCAGTTTCCTCATCTGTACAATGGGTTTATGGGTTTAATCACTCAGGCATGAGGACCTGACAGCTGAACATATGGAGAGAAGAAGCACATTTGGGACTAAAACAGGGGCCTCTGACAGTTCATCTTGCCTTGGAGGAAAGGGACTAGACAGGTCATAGTCACCACTGTGATCCAACACCAAGCCTGGCATACTGTTGGTGCTCAATAATTGCATGGCCTATGAATGGATCATTTACCCCCTTCATGGGGTGTGTCAACTCCAGGAATACTGGCCCCAGCTCTGTCTGTACAGGTTAGACCCTTAGCACTGTCAGGTAAGAGGGTACTGGCCCACCCTGAGTCGGCTAGGGGTCCAGAGGGACTGCAGTCCCAGCCTGGTCCTCAAGAAAGCCCCTCAGGCTAGGGGCAAGCCAGAGCAGATCCTGGACTTGTGGGATCAATGTTGGTCTGGGGAAAGGCTGTGGTCTGGGAGCCCTCACTCCAGAGACTTGGGTATTCCAGTGGGGAGAGACCACAGGATGGAGGCACATGCTCTTGGCACCTACACAGTGACCATCATTACACTCTCCCATTTTCCCGATGGGGAAACTGAGGCCCAGAGAGTGGCAATAGCTTGCCCAAGTGATGCCAGGAGGGATGAAGGATTTGAACCCAGAACCCCCAAACCCTCAGTCCCCTTCTGAGACCTGTAGCACATGGCAACACGTTGGCTCTGAGGGTCAAGCTGAGGGTCAGCCCGGTCCCCGTGTAGCAGGCAGAGGCTTTATTAGGAGCTGCCTGAACTTCCCGCCTGCCCTGGAGTCGTCTCCCCTTCCCCTTCCCCTTCCCCCAGGGCTCCCGCTTTTCTCCCTTGCTTTCAGTCCTGCTCCCTGGATCTAGGGCCTCCCTGACTGCCCTGAGCTGTGGGGACTTGGGGCTCCAGATGGGGTGGAAGAGCCTTCCAGGCAGAGGCCACAGCCAAGGCAATAGCCTGGAGGTGAGAGTGAGTCTGGAAGGTTCTGGGGGCCACGGTGGCTGGAGCCTCTTGGGACAGGGGGATATTGTCTTCTTCCCAGCTTGGAAGGGGCTGTGATTTTATCTCTGCGGACCCGGGGGGGGGGGGGCTCAAATCGTGTTAAAGTGTGTTAATTTTCCTTTATAATAATTATTATTTCCATTCTGTAGGGTCTACGGTTCCCAAAAGCTGAAGATCTCCTGGCTGTGGGGTGAACTTGGGAGCCAAGTGAACTCACAGAGAGTCAGAAAGCTTTGTGAGGTCTCAATTCAGTTCAGTTCAGTCGCTCAGTTGTATCTGACTCTTTGCGACCCCAGAACCGCAGCTGAGACTGTGAGGTCTCAGTACAGCTCAAACTCAGGCCCAAATCGCATTTAACAGATGAGTAAATTGAGTCTCAGGCAGCCAAAGGCAACCAGCAAGTCAGAAGCATAGAGCGGGTTCCAGGCGGAGCTCTCAGACCCTGAAACGAAGCTAGCAGCCGTGGCCACAAGGGTAAAATGGGTCAGATTCATTCACTCCGGGCATAGGATGCCCGCTCGCAACACCCAAAACTAGGGGCCTGACCTAGAAACTCAGATACAACCAAGCCGAAGAGACTGTGCGGGCGGCCACGCAAACCCGAGAATAAAACACCAGCTGTCCCCCGCCCCCCACAGCTTCTCGCGGCCTTCAGCTCGGAGAGTCCCGCCTCTTCGCTAAGGCCGAGCGAAGTGGGCGGGGCGAGGGCGGGGCCTTGCCACGAACGGCAGGCAGCCTTGCCAATCATGCTTCCGCTACCTCCGATTGGCCCCAGTCTCTCCGCCTTATCTTTCCATTTCACGGCCCTTCCCGCTTGCGTCACATGTATACTCCCAGCTCTCGTGCGCTTCCGCGCTGAAAGATAGTTCCTGCCCCTGCGCTCCCGCCGTTGGCCGACAGATCCCCGGCGCTCCCGTTCCAGGCGCCGGGCTCCGCGGGTCCGCAGCCGCGTCTAGCGTGCGCGTATGGGCGGGCGGCGGCGGCCGGGCGAGCGGGCGGTGGCGGAGGGATCCGCGAGAAGCGACGGGGCGGGACGCTCGGGGCGGGGCCAGGAGGGGGCGGGGCGGGGCGCGGGGCAGGGGGCGGAACATGTCTCCCGCCGCAGGAAGATGAGGCAGCGGCCGCGGGCGTAGCGGGCCGGACCGAGCCCAGCGACGCGGCAGGAGGGCATCGCGGGCTCCTCGCACGCTGTCTCCGCCAATTCCAGGGCCGCGCGCAGGGCCTGTGGGGCGGACGCGCGGGGAGCCGGGCCACGCGCCGCCGCCCACGCGCACCCCTCGGGGCCGCGACGCTTCTTTGTCCGGGGGGGCCGTTCATGCCACCGCCCCCCGCGCTCTGCGGGCCGGGCCGCACCGAGCAGGTGAGCGCGCTGGGACCCTCTACCGTTTGGTGCCTGGCGGACCCGGCCTCTTCGCGAGGCGCCGGGACGCCGGGACGCCGGGACCCGGGGACGCCGGGCGGGGGCGGGCTGGGCTGGGGGCGGCGCGGCCGGAGTCATTGTTCTCCAACTTTGCGCGCCGGAGGGGGCCGACGACGTGGATAGCGCGCTCGGGCTCGCGCGCCCCCGCCGACCGGCACTTAGGGAAAGTTTGCGGAGCTGGGCGGGGGTGACGCGGAGCCGTCCAACTTTGCGGCGGGGCAGTGGCGCGGGGGCCGCGGGCGCCCCCTTCCCCGGGGGCCCGGCCGGCGGCGGAGTTTGGAGGGGAGAGAGCGAGGGAGAGGGAGCGTCCTTTTGTCTGCGGGGAAGGTGCGCCGCGCGCCTGCGGGCTCGGGCCGAGGCCGGGCCGGGGGACACATCTGCTATGCGCTCCGCGGGCGCGGGCGGCGGGTGCGCCCCGAGCTTCAAAGGGCTCCCGGGCCGCGCCGCGCCGCCCGCACCGGCCGCGGGGGGTGGGGTGGGGATTGGTTTCCCGGGCCCCCTCCCTCCCCCCGCCCCGAGGTCGACGGTCCTGCCCCTTTCCTCGCAAAGTGGCTTCGAACCCCTAAAAGTCCTCGTGACACCCTGGAAGTATTTCAGCTCCCCCAGAGAAGCATGTTTCAGCCCCCCTCTCAGGTCTGCTTTTTAAATCGGTTTCAGCCACCCTACGAAGAAGTGCGGTTTCGTACTCCTCAAAAAAAAGTCAGTTTCACACGCCCTCCAAAAAAGAAAAAGCTTCGCGGGGGAGGGGGTGCGCCGGGGCATCCGTTTCACACCCGTCTCCAGTTGGCAAACAAAGCGGGGGTTTCTCCGCTTCTGAAGTCGGGTCTCCCTCGACCTCGGAACCCTAGCTTCCCTCGTGGCCCCCACGGTTTCTGCTTGCCGCCCCCGCACCGCTGGGGGCCCGGGAGGAGACCCTGGAGGGGCTTTGCTGCCTGACTGTGGGACGGGGACGTGCTCTTCTCTCTCTTCTGGGTGTGGGATGGTCTCTGGCAGGTGGATTCCCCCTCATTCTAGAATGGAGCCCCTAGGGACCTTGTGGGGTCGGGGAGACTCGGGTCTTCGGACCCCCTTCCCCCAGGGCAAGAGATATTTTCAAAGTTGCTTAAAAATAATTGCCGGATACGTCGTGACAATAAAACAACCTAGGGTGGTGTTTGTCTTTTCAGAGTTCGGTTGTTTTTCGTGGTGGGAAGCTTTGTGGGTCGGTCCCTGCGCGGGGCACCCCCCCTGCCAGTGTAGTCGTGGGACAGGAAGGGGGCTTCGCAGTCTTGTGGATTTATTTTGCTTTGAATTTGGGGGTGACCAGGCCTTCAACGTGCTCTGACAGCTGTTGGGGGGGTCACCAAGTTTCCTTTGAGGCGGGGCCGGGTCGCCCCTCCCTCTTCACGGGGGCGGGGCCAGGGCTGGTGGGAAGCGTGCGGGTGGGAGGAAATAGAGGTGGCGGGGAAAGGGGCGGGTTCAGACCGATCTGGGAAGGGACCACTCTGCCCCGCATCCCCTGTAACTTTTGCATCTTGATTCCCTGGTGGTCGCTGAGGGAGTTCAAGGGATCTGCTCTGTGCTGCCCGAACCCCGTTGTTCAAACTCCCCCATGGCCCTGGGGAGGGGTCTCTAGGGGCCCTAATCCTGGAATCCTGGCTGCGAAGGACTCAGACTCTGGGAACATTTAGAGGGGCTCTTAAACATCCTCCTCATCTGTCCACCTCGGCCATCCTCACTCATGCCTCTTCTCTCCTTCCTCCTCCCCTCTGCCTGCACCCGTGGTGGCCACCACGCAGGGCTGTCTCTAGGCCTAAGGAGCTGACCCCGGCCCCTCGTTGCTGCTGGAGAATGAACCAGTCGCAAAGGATGGCGCCTGTAGGCACAGACAAGGAGCTCAGTGACCTCCTGGACTTTAGCATGGTGAGTGACCCTACCCACCCTTCCTGTCCGCCCAGCTCTCCACAGCCCTAGGACTACGGGAAGAAGCCTCTGCCAGAAACACCCCCAGTATCTGGACCTCAAACTTGTTTGGGTCAAAGGACCCCAGGTGGGGCTGGAGGGTTTGGGGAGCTGCCAATGGATGGGTTGACACCCCTACAGCCGGGTGCAGCTTCAGGGCACCTGTCACCCAACTGTATGCCTTGGCACAGAGTGGGTCCAGCCCACTCCTTTACAGATGGGGAAATTAAGGCCCAGAGTAAGGGCGGGGCTGCCCAGGGCCTGCAGTTCCTCCTTGTGGAGGCTCCGCCCTGAGACCCCAGCTTGCTTTGGGCATGCAGTGATCTTGACAGTGATCTTGCTTCTGACCTATAGGATGGTGTGATCAGGGTTATTCACAGCACTGTCAGTGCAAAAAATGGGAGTGCCCAATGCTTCAGTGCCCCGGGTGTGGGCCTTCTGTGAGTGGAGAGAGGACACACACAGTGGACGTGTAATTGTTCATTTATTTACTCACATGAGAGCCAGTGCTCAGTGTCGCCAGGAGCTGGGCCACAAGTGACCGGAGACCTTGAGAGCAATGCATAGGAATCTGAGGGGATGGGAGTGTGGGGTGTGGCAGAGGATGTCCCTACACTTCCCAGGCGGTGTGCTCCACCAGCCAAGCCCGTTCCCTGGCCAGGTGGATGGAGGTTCAGAGAGGGTGCTGGCTTCCAGGGGTCACATAGTTCAGACAGGCCTGGGGGTGGGGGCTGGAAGCTAGAGCTTCCCTTGGAGGAGTGGGGGCCTTGGTTTGCCCATCTGTAAGGTGGGCTGCCTGTGACAGAAGTAAACCTGGGAACTGTATGTGAACTTCCTAAATCCTGCCCCTCTACTTGTCCCACTGAGCACCATTTTAGTTTGATTCTTTCGGTCTGAATTTGATCATCTGCTGGTATGAGGCCTAGGCCACTGAGGTCTGTCAAAAATAAAAGTCCCCAAGTTGAAGCCACTCTGCGGAAAAACAGCCCCCGGGACAGAGCGGCTGCGGCTCCGGAAGGGCCAGGCTGGTATTTTTAAGCCCCGTTTTATTTTTTCCTCCCCGGGTGAGTAACCAGGGGTGCTACTCAGTTGTTTTTTTGTTAAACTGACAAGTCACAGACTATTGGGCTGGAACAGACCAGCTTAGGGGTCAGGGGAGGGGGTGGCCCCTTCCCCCTGCCACCCGAAAGCCCCAACCACTTGCCCACCTCCCCTTTCTGTCTGAAGGGTCCAGACTGCCCCCTCCCCCACCAGCTCAGAGCCAGCAACCCACTTCATGGATGAGGAGACTGAGGTGGAGTGGGAAAGGTGCCCAGTGTCTATCCTCCGGGGAAACCCAGAACTGGATCTTTTTCACCCTCCTTGTCATTATGGGGAGAGAGGCCCAGAGACAGCCCCAGTTGCGGCTCACAGCTCTGCCTCCCACCTGCCCCATAGATGTTGACTTAATTTGTTTTCTTAAAACAACCTAATTTTGACTAAAACAAAAGATTTCAAAGGGAAGCGTATCTTTGGGGCAGGTCCATGTGAAGGAAATGAGGTAACTGTCATTTAAACACCAGAGAAGAAAGCTGCCCCCAGCTCTTAAGATCCATGTTCTCCTGATCTAGGGCTTCCTCTTAGATGGGTGGTCCTGAGCATATGTAGGCTCTGAGTGCTGTCTCCCAGGTGGGCCTGAGGTGGTCCCCAGCCTGATGATGGCCTGAAACGACTGGGGGCCAGGGAGGGAGCTGTGGGCAGGCGCTGGCACAGTGCTCCGACTGTACTCCTCTGAGCCCTGTGTATGCCCACGTGCGCTTGGGTTTCACAATAGCCCACGCGTCCTGAGCCCTGAGTCCCGTTGCACAGAAGGAAACACTGAGGCTCTGAGCAGTGTGGGGCCTGTCTGGGCTGATCACAAGACTTAAAGCACCTACAGGACACGGCCCAGTGCCCCCTGTGGCAAGTGCCACGTCAGCGGCCCCCAGCACCCTGGAGGATGAAACAGAAACTGAATTGATCCCCTGCTCCTCCGGGGGGGCTTGGCTGATGACCCCCAGGCCTGCCAGAGGGGCAGGCCTAGAGACCCCAGCGGGAAAGGGGCCCACCTTGAGGACAGGCCCCTGGGTCCAGTGAGCACCGCACCACTCCCAGAGGGGACACAAACCCCAAGAACCCACATCCAACCTGGGTGCTCACAAGCTATGAGCTTCTGCACTCACTTTGCCAGCTTAGCCTGTGGCCTCAGTTTCCCCTTCTATAGAATGGGGTTTGCAGGCAGAAGCCACCTTCCTGGTCCCTCCCCAGGCTTGTGGTGCTAACCCCAACAGTCACACCCACAGACCCCATACCCTCACCTCCTGGTTGGCCAGGGAGGGTTTGGGGGGCCATCAGCCACTCCCCAGTTAAGTCCTAAGCCCTGATTCAGGCCAGTCTGAGTCACTTGGGGCCCAAAAAGAACCTCTGAACGGGATCCTTGGGGCAGGGCAGGACTGTGTTTTGTTTTTTCTGTGGCACAAGGGTTTGTTGATGTTGGGTTTTCCCAGTTAATGCTGCTAAGCTGTTTAATCTTGAGGGACTTAACACCGTGGGTTTGGGTGAGTGAGTGGGAAGGCTGGTGGGGGTTGGGGGGTGATGTTCCCACACTGGGTGCCCCCACCCTCAGGAGAACTGCCCAGTTACTGGCAGGGAGGGGTACAGCCTCAAAGCAGAGCCCAGCACGTGGGGCTGCTCCCTGTCCCGGCGGTGGAGCCGGGGTGTTCTTCCCTCACCCTGCCACTCGCAGGGTCAGGGACACAAGGAGAGGTAGGAGCCAGGCTCGTCAGGGAAGGTCAGGGTCTAAGACTGGAGTACCAATGCCTGGGGATCCACCTGAGGTATAAGTGATCTCATTTATTTAAAACTGGAACTTAAAAGTGTATCCCTTCTAAGAGTAGGGATTATATTAAGTGCTCCATAGGTTAATTCATCTCTGGAAAGCAGTAAACAGGAGTTTTCAAATCCCACTGGTGACTGTGATCCGGGAGGTGCTCCCTGGGGGTGGGGGTCCCAGTGGGACAGGACCCCGGCAGAGCTGTGATCCCCACTTACCGCTCTCCCTCCCTCCCTGCAGATGTTCCCCCTCCCTGTGACCAACGGGAAGAGCCGGCCCGCCTCCCTGGCCGGTACCCAGTTCGGAAGCTCAGGTAGGAGGACCCCACTGCCTCCCAGCTTTGTGTTTGAGGGAGGAGATTGCCGCTTGGAGGGTGGGCCAGGCAGCCCGGGACTGCCACTGTGGGGTAGGGCTGGTGGACCAGGCACCAAGGGAGGAAGTGTTTGGGGGCAGTGCTCAGGCCCACCAGGTGGTGTGGGGATGAGGGGCCTGGGGCAATGTTTCCAGGCTCCCAGTAGACGTGGGATAGGGTGACAGTGAGCCTGAGGGAAGCTGAAAAACCAGGCGTTGTCAGGGTCTTGTGATCTGCCATGGGGCTAGGGGAGGGAGTCAAATGGTTAGCGCAGAGTTGCTGTCCGAGCTAAGGTGGGCACTTGGGCCTCCGAGGTCTCCCTGGCCCCAGTGGGTTCTGGGTCTCCAGTCCCTCCCCAGGGGGGGAACCTGAAGCCAGAAGGGGTGTGGTGTGGAACCCCAGCTGTCCACATCCTGCCCAGCTCCTGGCTGTTCTTGGTCAAGTGTGTATTTGGCACTTTCTATATAGGAGACCAGGCTCTGGGGTGAGCGACTGGCCTGTGTGCTCTAGATCTGGGGGTTTGAGTGTTCACACAAGATTGTCCCTGGCACTCCTGGATGAGCTGGTCACCCCTGTGGCACCGAGTACAGAGGGTAGACAGGGAGGACAGACAGGCCACAAGAAGCTTACAGCAGGGGTTAGGCAGCAGAGTGCCGGGGGGAAGCTACCACAGCCGGGCAGAAGGGCCGTCTCCAGAGAGATGTCTGAGCTGAGGCTTGTGAATGCTGAGCCCCTGGGGCAGGACAGTTCCTGGGGTGCTGGAGGAGCAGAGTCAGGAAGGGTGGGCAAGCCGTGCAGGGCCTGGTGGGCTCAGGGGAGGACTCAGGCTTTTCCCCCAGGGATGTGGGAGCCCTGGAGGGCTGTGGGCAGAGAGAGAGCTCAGTGCATGTTGGGGAGGAGGGCTGGGGGTCGTCTCCTTGGGAAGGCTGGCGCTCTGTGTGGACTTCAGTCTCTTTCTGGGGCCCTGGGGTGGAGGCTGTGTCCTTTCACGTCTCTGGGGTCACGATAGAAGTTTCTGTCTTCTCCAGATTCCATCGGGGTGGCTGAGGGGAGCTGGCTGGAAGTGGAGGGGGTTTCGAGGGTGGTTTGTACTCTCTCACCCCCACCCCCTGAAGGGGGGGTGGTGTTGTCTGCTGCTGCCCGGCACTGGCCTTCCTCTCCGCCGGAGGAAGTGGCCTCAGGGCTGGCTGGCGTCCTCCTGAAGTGTGGAAATCCCCACCGGCCACCCTGCCCCCCAAACAACCCTCAGGAGCTGGGGGTGCTGCTGCTTTCCTGCTTCAAGCAGAAAGCCAGGCTCTGGGAGGCTTCCTGGAGGAGGTGGTGCTGTCCTTCCTCCTCAGGAAGGTGAGGTGGCTCCCTCACCTTCCCCCAGGCCTCTTCCTGACTCTCTTCCCTTTTCCAGGGTTCACTTGGGGCCAGGAGACCCCAAGGAAAGTCCTCCAAGACACCCCACACCTGGCCCAGCCTGGGGGGGCCCCCTGTGGGTTTTTCAGGTTGATTTTCCATGGTTCCTGCGGGCCCATTTCACTTACAGCCCCACCTGACCATGTTGGATGGGGGGGGAGTCTGGTCTTGACCCCTTGCATGTCAGAGCTAAGTTTTCTTGCCCACAAGGGTATGGTGTGGCTGGACCAGCCCCAGAGGTCCCCAGTTCGTTTCAAGCCATTAGTGCTGCCAGGAGTGAGGGAGGGGCCACGGGGCCACGACACCTAAGACCTGGGCTCAGGGGCCCCCTCCTTGCTGTCCTGTCAGACACAGGGCAGGCTGTGTCACCTGACCCAGGTGACATTCCTGCATGCCTCAGTTTCCTCATCTATAAAACAAGTCTCCCTGTCAGCTGATCTGATGAGTCCTTGGGCGTGAAAGTGCTTTAAGACCTGAGGCGTGGGGCTGTCTCCATGTCTGCCTTGAGCTCACAGTGAAGGGGGGTCCTGCTCCAGACACAAGAGCCCCAGGAACAGAGACTGGCCCCTTTGGGGGCTCTCCCCTGCTCCTTCCGTGGTGGAGCTGGAGACCCCAGGAAGAGGCCAGGGATGAGTGTTGGTGGTCCAACTGCAGGATGGGGCTTGGGGAAGCCCCCTGCTTTCTGAGCCTGGGTCACCACCCTCCAGACGGGCAGAGTCGCCTTAAGGGGATGAGAGCTCCAGGGGGTCCTGCAGCCAGGTCCTCCCTTCCCGCTGTGTACATCCTGGCTCAGTGTCTGCTTAGAATTCCTTCAAGTCCACTTGCATTTTCCTAGGCCTGCTCCGAAAAAGCGCTTTGCACCAGAAGAGCAGCTGCCTGGGCCGTGGGGAGGGGTCTCCAGCGAGGGGGTCTCTGAGTGTGTGGGCTGAGCAGCTGGCCCCGCCAGTCTGTGCCATCTCTGTCTAGAGACGCTGTTGGAGGCATTGAAGACTCACTAACCTGAGGCGGAGGCTTGCTTGTGTTAGATCAGAAGGCTGTAGAATGAGAATAGTTTTTCCACCCCCTCCCTTTTGGGAAACCCCGAGGCACAGCTGTCTCAGTGGCAGCACCTCCTCTGCCAAAAACTATAGGGTCAAGGGCTCCCTAGCCAGAAACATCAGAATTCGCTGGCTGACCCCAGAGGAAGGGCTTCTCTGTTGTCAGTCTCTGCAGCTCTCCTGGTTTGTGTGTTTCCAAATGTTTGTAACACATTCTTGGTACAAACCTCACAGGCAGGCAAGGCGGCGTCCACCCTGGGTCAGCACGGATGTGTGGTCACAGCCTCAGCCTAAGCTCCAGACCAGAACCGCTGGCCGTGGACCTGTGTCCATGGTGAGGATGTCCCTCTGGCATCCCAGGGTTGGCTCTTCCCCACCTGTTCTAAATCCGCCTCTTCAGCGGGCGTTAACTCAATGAGTGATTATCTTTCCAAAACCTTATTGGTCAGATGGGTTATATTTTGATGAATTTCTGATCACTGTCTTGAGCCCTCCTCCCTTTTTTCTTGGATTTAGTCAGCTTTTTATTTTGAAATCACAATATATTCACAGGAAGTTGCAAAGAAATGTGCAGGGCACCCCCAAGCCCCTCCCTAGCCTACTCATTCCCAGCCTCCTCTCATATGACACAGAATCAGGAGACTGACCGTGGTACAAGCCACAGAGTTTATTCAGTATTTTAGTTTATTCATGAGCCCTGCATGCACCCATTTGTGCGTCTGTAGCTCCGTGCAGTTGTATCCCACATGTAGCACCATGAAGCCACTCCCATGGTCTCCAGGACTATTCCATCGCCCCACGACCTCCCACCTGCGGCCACTCACCCCCCACCCCCACCTCACCCTGGCAACCCTTGATTTCCTCTTCTCCATCTTCCCAGCTTTGCTGTGTTGAGGATGTTGTATACATGGAACCACACAGCACGGAGCCTTCTGGGGTCAGCTTTTTCCACTGAGCATACTTCCTTGGAGACCCATCCAAGTTGTTGGATCAAGTTTGTTCCTTTTTATGGCTGCCTGATGAACTTTTAAACAACAGCAATAGTAACACTTACCAGCAGTTTATATCAGCATTTCTCAAGCACTGTACTCCAGGAACCAACCCTAGATCATTCATTCTGAGTCCTCAGTCCTCCTGGGGTGGTGAGACAGGTGCAGTTATCTCCCCCATTATACTTAGGATGAAGCTGAAACTTCGAGAGTTTAGTAACCATCCCAGCTAACCACAGAATGCTGTATTCTCTTTGTAGTGTCCTGTGCCCCTGCCCTATACTGGTCTTACTGATTTGCAAGAGCTTTTTCTATAGGAAGGATATTAGTCTTTTGTTACCTGTGTTGCAGCCTTTTTCATAAGTTTTCATTTATAACTGTTGTTGATGATGTAGATTTTCAATTCCTCTCAGTGGTTTACAGGTTTCATTTTTATGTTGTCAAGTCTTTCCATTTGTTCTAGCCTTGGTGCCATTTCTGAGAAATTTTTAAGAATTAGATGACAGTCCATTCTGCAGGGCAGATGTGCCGGTCATGAATGTGCCTGTTCCTCATTCCATCAGATTGAGGAATATTCAGGAAAAGATGTTGGAGGGCAGAAAAGGATGCCTTTACAGCTTTTGTGAGAGCAAAGAAGTGAAAAATAAGTAGGAGTAGAGAACCTCAATGATGGAGTGATCAAAATTGAACTTACAGAGCAGTTCCTGGCCAGTGGCACACATCCTGCTGACCTGTGGGACTGCTCAGAACACACACTCTTGGGCCCTGGACCCAGAGATACTGATGAAAGCCTGGAGTGAGGCCTGAAAGGCACCTTCAGTTAGAAGCACTTATTCTTCAAAGACCTGCCCTGTAAATAGGGATCACACTTCTTATAAAAATTGATCACATACCAGACATAATAAAAGGATGTAACCAAAAAAAGTGACCAAAATATAATTCCTCATATTCCTTTGAGAACAATGCAGTAAAACTAGAAACAAAAGACCAAAAAATGCAGAAATAAACAAAAAGCCTAACTACTTGGAAATAACAAAATTCCTTTTTGTCTGCCTCTTGCATTAAAGAGGAAAGTAAAACACAGCCAGGCTAGACAGAAATCAGCAATAATGTAAACACACACAAACAGGTGCAGCCAAAGCTGTACTTGGAGAGGAATCATAGTCTTTGACAATCTTCAGATACAATGGAAAGAAGTGGAGTAAGCATTTAATTTAGGAAGTTCTAGAACAGAATAAACTCAAGAAAATCTTTCTTTGTGGTTCAATATGCCTCAGAGCATTTCCTAAATTGCCATTTAGCCATGAATTTTTGCCTTATATTTTTACTTTCCTGTAAAAATATAAATATTCTACTTCAGTACTACCCAGTGTTAGTTACTATAGCTTTCTGATGTTTTTTATAGTCTTACCTCAATTTTTGTTTTCCAGGTCCCCCACCCACATATTTTGAGATATGCTTATTCTTTTCTTTGATCTTTAGAATAATTATGTCTCCTCCCATCCCACATCCCTTCAAAAAAAAAAAACCT